AACAAAGAAAGAAAGAAAGAAAGAACAAAAGAAAGAAAGAAAGAAAGAAAGAAAGAAAGAAAGAAAGAAAGAAAGAAAGAACAAAAGAAAGAAAGAAAGAATCCTAAGAAAGGAAGCAAGAAAGAAAGAAAGAAAGAAAGGAAAAAACAAAGAAAGAATCCTAAGAAAGGAAGCAAGAAAGGCAGGAAGGAAGGAAGGAAGAAAGAAAGAAAGAAAGAAAGAAAGGAAGGAAGAAACGCCCGCACACACATTCTCTCATAAACGCATGTACATATACTACACACACACACCTTGCACGAAAAACAACGCGATTGCCGCAATCACGCGAAGAAGCGCTTGTGTTCCCCAAAGCAGCCGACACGCTCGCTTACTCCCAAGGCTACTCCATTGCACAGCCATGCTTGGGCCTGCCTCAGGCCCGGAGCAAAAGCGCATGCTTCCAGCAAACTCTTGAGACCTGGGGATACTAGCCAGCGCATCGCTCACAACAGCCGATCTCCTTCTGCATCTGTGAGCGACCCTCGCCAAGACGTTACGCGGAATTCCAAGATGTTTCATCTGCGGACTCAGCTCGAGGATCTTCAAAGAAGCCAGGCTGCCTGTGTGTTCTTCAGACACAGCAGGTGTCCAGTCCAGGCAGGCGGCGGCCTTGCGCATCTGGCTGAGCGGGTGCCACTGGTTCACTGACATCTGCATCACGGATTGACAGTAGTTGAGGAGCGGAGACTCCGACCAGGGTTGAGAGAAGCCATGGTGCACTTGGTGCAGCGACATTGTTTGCTTGGTTGATCGATTGACTGACTGACTGACTAATTGATTGATTGATTGATCGATTGACTGACTGACTGACTGACTGAGCGAGCGAGTCAGTCAGTCAGCGAGTGAGTGAGTGATTGCGTTCATTGAGTTCAATTGAGTTTCATTGAGCAACTTGGATGAATTGGATGAATTGAAAGCTGCCCCGCTGAAGTCTTTGCCCCACTCCCCCAGCCCCACTCCCCCACTCCGGGGCCCAGGCTCACCGCCTCAAGGAAGCCCTGCTGCGTGCCGAAGGTGATCCAGGCGATGCCCTGAATCGAGGACTCGACTCAAGTTGACTCAAGGCGCCAACGGCGGGCGCCCCCAAACCTTTTCAGCGGCATGGGAGGTCATAGAGCCCCTTGGACGTGAGATAGGGCCCCTTGGACCTTGAAAGGGCACGATACAAACAACGTCACCCGGTTGGACTCATGTCTTAAGAGCTAGATGCCATGTTGCACCACACACTCTCTACACTTCCCGTGTTGTTTGCTCACTGACACGGAAGACTCGGCCGAGCCGACTGCTGGCACAGGAAATGAAGGAGGAAACACTGTTTGCGGAAACACTCATTTCTGGGAGTCCAAGTGGAAGCACATTTCCTTGCCAAGAATTCGCCGGCCGCTGGAGAATCTTTGCCTTCGTGGTGACAATGGTCAACCAAAGAAAAGCAACCCTCGGCAGCTTATGCCGAGCATGGAGTGAACACAACAGCCTGCAATCTCTTCCCCTTGATACTTAAGCAGAGGCAAGGTGTTTCTGTGATTCTGGTGCATCGTGATTGTGGAATCGCGCCAGTTGCTGGTGAATGCAACACGTCACTCATACGTTAATCACACATGGGCGTCTGCATGTTTGAGGGTACCCATTTTGAGGTTCGTTGCAAGGACAATTCAAGGGACACCAAGAGTACAAGTGAGCCACCCTCCTCCGACGGCATCCCCAGCACGTTGCTCCATTGGGAATCCCTCAAAGGGGGGGGTCCAAGCAGGCTATATAGAGCAGCCCATGGATTCCTGAGGCTCAGTGCATGGAACCTCCGCTGGGACCCTACCAACTATCTAGAGCTCACCTTGCGAGGTTTCCCCACAGAATAGCGACATGTTGAACGCTCGGGTCAGCATGGGTGACATGGGTTTCGAGCATAGCTGGAGGGCGTTTGTTGAGGTGAAACGCTGGCTGGTTGTGCAGCAAACCAGAAAACCGGAAAGGGCTGGTTTGAGCAGGGAAGCTGACACAAAGCTTGGGTTGTTCCCCGACACCAACAGCCACCCTGTTTTGGAAGATCATTCGGAGGTAGTTGATGACGGGGTAAATCCAGCATGAGATGCAGCACTTCAAGATGTCGGTTTCTTGACTCGCAGCCAACTGTTCAGCTGCGCTCCTTTTCCTGCTCTAATTCCTGAATGTTGAGTCCTTCCGACAGGGAACACGGTCGTTTCCGAGAAGACAACCTTAAACCAATTCGAAACCCGCAACTTCCCGGAACCCCCAAACCGCCCGAAAGGACAGCCGCCCCTTGGCTTCACGGGCCAAAAAGGCCCCGAAGTCTTGGGCTGGGGTGCCCGAGACATTTGCCGCGCCATGGTGCCAGCGGTGCCAGCGGTGCCAGGGAGAGGATGCCACCCGAACCCATCCCCATGACCGGATGTTGCGCCTTGCAGCTCCCGCTCTTGTCCACCATGATCCGAACATCACCCACCTGAAAACAGATGTAAGCGGCACCTTCCAATGGCTCATGCGGCACCTTCCAATGGCTCATGTTCAAAACTCCCAGGTCCCAAATCATGAAGATTCTGGTTCGAGAACTGCGAGTCCAAAGAAGCTCGGACGCCCGACACATGTTTCTTGCCATTTACTGGTTCCGTCTTGAGGGTGTCCTTCTCCAGCAGCTAAAAAGCGCTCTTTGACATACGTAGCAGTGGATATATATATATATATATAATTCTACACGGTGATCACTGATCCCCTTTGGTTCGCGTTCAAAGGGAAATCCAAATCAAACATATCTTTTAGGTCCGGAAATCCCAAGATTCAAAGGGAAATCCAAAGGGAAATCCATGCCTAGGCTCCTCCTGCTGAAAACCGCGCCATCCTTTATGACGGACCCCGGGAAAGGGTCCAGCGCGCGCACCAGGCCGCTGCCGCCGGGGCACGATCTCGCCCGCCTGAGCCGGGTACAAGTTGCAAACCCCGGCTTCAACAACGCAACCTGGACATACACAGTTGCATCTTTATATAACCATATGCTCACCCCCCCCCCCAGGGCCCACCTTGTGAGGGAAAATCATACAACTCATGATAAATTTGGAGATGGGGGTGAGCATATGCTTTTGACCAACTATATATACATATATACATATGTATACATATATATATATATATATACAGGAAGCTCGCGGAACTGAATCGAATCGGCTGGCGCGAATCGCGCCGAACCGGAACCGGCGCGAACCGGCCGCGCGATTCCTGGATACGAATCGACACCAAGTACGCCAACCCGGCAAAACGAAACGAAACGAATCGGCTAATTGGCGGTTTCCGAACCGAATGGAATCGAAACGGGCCGGTTCGAGGGCAGAGCTGGCAAAGAGAACAGGCAAACAAGCCGGGATGCGGCTGGAGGAAGGAAGTCTAAGAGATTGCATGGGTAGACAGGTTAAGGTCCAAAGGTTGAAAGGTAAAAGGTTTGTCCAGAAAACCTCTCAAGGTTGCACCCCGAAGGTTGGAGCCAGAGCTTGGAGCCCAGCCCACAGCTCACCCAAAGGTTGGAGCCCAGAGCTTGGAGCGCAAAGGTTGGTTAGAGGTTAAGGTTAGTGGTTAGGGTTAGAGGTTAGGGTTAGAGGTTAGGGTTGGAGGTTTGGGTTCGAGGTTAAGGTTAGAGGTTAGGGTTAGAGGTTAGGGTTAGAGGTTAGGGTTAGAGGTTAGGGTTAGAGGTTAAGGGTAGAGGTTAGGGTTAGAGGTTAAGGGTAGAGGTTTTTAGGGTTAGAGGTTAGGCCCAGAGCTTGCAATCCATGTTTGGTAGACAGGCCAGAGCCCCAAGGTTTGAGCCCAGAGCTGGTCAAAGGTTGGAGGCGAGCTTGCCTCAAAGGTTGGAGACCAAGGCTTAGAGCCCAAAGGTTGGAGGCCAGAGCTTGGAGCCCAAAGGTTTGAGCCCAGAGCTTGGAGCTCAAAGGTTGGAGGCCAGAGCTTGGAGCTCAAAGGTTGGAGCCCAAGGCTTGGAGCCCAAAGGTTGGAGCCCAAAGCTTGGAGCCCAAAGGTTGGAGCCCAGAGCTTGGAGCTCAAAGGATGGAGGCCAGAGCTTGGAGCTCACCAAGCTCAAAGGTTGGAGGCCAGAGCTTGGAGCCCAAAGGTTGGAGCCCAATGGAGCCCAAAGGTTGGAGCCCAGAGCTTGGAGTTGGAGCTCAAAGGTTGGAGGCCAGAGCTTGGAGCTCAAAGGTTGCAGGCGAGGTTGGCCCAGAGCTTGGCAGAGCTTGGAGTAACTTTTGGGAGGCTCCAACATTTGAGCTCCAAGCTCTGGGCTCCAACATTTGAGCTCCAAGCTCTGGGCTCCAACCTTTCGGCTCCAAGCTCTGGCCTCCTCCAACCTTTGAGCTCCAAGCTCAGGAGAGCTGGAGCCAAGGTGAGCCAAGAGCTTGGTAGTCAAAGGTTGGATGTTGGAAGCCCAATAAGGTTGGAGGCCAGAGCTTGGAGCCCAAAGGTTGGAGCCCAGAGCTTGGAGCTCAAAGGTTGGAGGCCAGAGCTTGGAGCCCAAAGGTTGGAGGCCAGAGCTTGGAGCCCAAAGGGTGGAGCCCAGAGCTTGGAGCTCAAAGGCTGGAGGCCAGAGCTTGGAGCCCAAAGGTTGGAGGGAGCGGTTGGAGCCCAGAGCTTGGAGCCCAAAGGTTGGAGCGCAGAGCTTGGAGCTCAAAGGTTGGAGCTTGGAGCTCAAAGGTTGGAGGCCAGAGCTTGGAGCCCAAAGGTTGGAGCCCAGAGCTAGGAGGCCAGAGCTTGGATCAAAGGTTGGAGGCCAGGCTTGGAGCCCAAGGTTTGGGCCCTGAGCTTTGGGAGTTGAGGCCAGAGCTTGGAGTGAAAGGTTGGAGGCCAGAGCTTGGAGCTCAATGAGTTGGAGCCAGAGCCTGGAGGAGGACAGAGCTTGGGAGCCCAAAGTTGGACTAAAAAAACCCCAAAAAAAAGAGATGACTTGGGTGGAGGAGGACAGACCTTGGAGCCGAAAGGTTGGAGCGAGCTTGGAGCTCAAAGGTTGGAGGCCAGAGCTTGGAGTTAAAGGTTGGAGGGGAGGACAGAGCTTGGAGCCCAAACATTTGAGCCCAGAAAGCGTGTGCCTGCCATGACCACTGCGGTCAGGGCAGTGGACGCTCAGGGGCTGTCAATTGCTGCCTTTGAGACAAGCATATGACTACTGGCAGGATCAACCAGGATTTGCCGGTGGAGGACGATGGAGGCGGCTTGGAGGCTGGAAGGCCGGTGCTGGAAAGGTTGGAACATGTGGAGTGGCGCCCCCCGGTTGGACAGGCGGCCTGCTGCCTGGTTGGAGGGACGAAGCGGCCCTGGAGTGGAGCGTGGAGCCCAAAAATTGGAGAGCAGAGCTTGGAGCCCAAAGGTTGGAGCCCAGAGCTTAAGGCTGGAGGCCAGAGCTTGGAGCCCAAAGGCTGGAAGGACCCCAAAGGTTGGAGCCCAGAGCTTGGAGCGCAGAGCTTGGAGCTCAAAAGCCCAGGTTGGAGGGAGCCCAAAGCCCAGAGCTTGGAGCCAAAGGTTGGAGCCCAGAGCTTGGAGCTCAGGAGGCCAGAGCTTGGAGCCTAAAGGTTGGAGGCCAGAGCTTGGAGCCCAAAGGTTGGAGTTGGAGCAGGCCAGAGCTTGGAGCTCAAAGGTTGGAGCCAAGAGCCTGGAGGAGGACAGAGCTTGGAGCCCAAAGGTTTGGAGGAGGACAGAGCTTGGAGCCCGAAGGTTGGAGCCCAGAGCTTGGAGCTCAAGGTTGGAGGCCAGAGCTTGGAGCTCAAAGGTTGGAGGGGGGGACAGAGCTTGGAGCCCAAAGCTTGGAGCCCAGAAAGCGTGTGCCTCCACTGGAGGCAAGGGTTGCCATGACCACTGCGGTCAGGGCAGTGGACGCTCAGGGGCTGTCAATTGCTACACACCCAGAAATCAGGAGCTCGCCTGCTTGAAAAAAACACATTTTTGTTGGGATATTGACTTGAAAATGGAAGGAAGGTGGCACTGAAGCTCATGCCAATCACCTTCCATGCGACCCATCAAAGGGATCAGTAGAAGCAAGCACAAGCAGAACTTCTGTCCTGTTGGATAAAACAAAAATGCAATTGGAGGACGCAGCCCTCAAAGGATAGAACAAAGGTTGGAGTGCAAGGTTGGTTGGAAGGGTTCTGGATTCAAGGCCTTTGAGACAAGCATATGACTACTGGCAGGATCAACCAGGATTTGCCGGTGGGCGCAGGAAAGCTTTGGCAAAGGGATTTGCAAAGGTTGGACGAAGTGGCCCCGGCTGGTTGGAGGGACGCGGGTTGGAAGATGGAGGCGGCTTGAAGGCTGGAAGGGCGGCCCTGGAAAGGTTGGAACATGTGGAGCGGGCCCCCAAAAGGTTAAAGGTTGGACGGGCGGATTGCCTGGTTCGAGGACAAAGGTTGGAAGACGGAGGCGGCTGAGAGAAGGCTGGAAGGGCGGCCCTGGAAAGGCTGGAACATGTGGAGCGGCCCCCCTCACAAAGGTTGGACAGGCGGCCTGCTGCCTGGTTGAGGGATGAAAGGCGGCTCAGTGAAGGCTGGAAGGGCGGCCCCCAAAGGTTGGGTTGGAAGACGGAGGCGGTTGGCGGCCCTGGAAAGGTTGGAGCATGCCCCCACAAAGGTTGGACGGGCGGCCTGCTGCCGTTGGAGGGACAAAGGTTGGAAGACGGAGGCGGCTGGAAGGGCGGCCCTGGAAAGGTTGGAACATGTGGAGTGGCCTTTCATAGGAGAAGCCTCCAAAGGTTCGGCCTGTTGGAAGACGGAGGCGGAAGGCTGGAAGGGCGGCCCTGAAAGGTTGGAACATGTGGAGTGGCCCCCCAAGAGGGATGGAAGACGGAGGCGGCCCCAAAGGTTGGAGGAGAAGCCCCAAAAGGTTGGACGGGCGGCCTGCCTGGTTGGAGGGACAAAGGTTGGACGGGCGGCCTGCTGCCTGGTTGGACGAAGGTTGGAAGACGGAGGCGGCTCAGTGAAGGCTGGAAGGGCGGGGCTTGAAGGGCGGGCCTGGAAAGGTTGGAACATGCGGAGAAAGGTTGGAGGAGAAGCCCTGAAAGGTTGGACGGGCGGCCTGCCTGGTTGGAGGGACAAAGGTTGGAAGACGGAGGCGGCTCAGAGAAGGCTGGAAGGGCGGCCCTGGGAAAGCGGCCTGCTGCCTGGTTGGGTTGGAAGACGGAGGCGGCTCAGCGAAGGCTGGAAGGGCGGCCCTGGAGTGGGCCCCCGAAGGTTGGAGGAGAAGCCCCCACAAAGGTGGCCGCAAGGGCGGCCCTGGAGTGGCCCCCCAAAGGTTTGAGGAGAAGCCCCCATAAAGGTGGCGGCCCGCAAGGTTGGAAGACGGAGGCAGTGAAGGCTGGAAGGGCGGCCCTGGAAGGTTGGAACATGTGGAGTGGCCCTTCAAAGGTTGGAGGAGAAGCCCCCATACACGGGCGGCCCACCCGCCCGCCGAGAATGGTTGGAGGGACGAAGGTTGGAACAC